AGGAATTTACAGATGCGTTGATCATGAAGTTGGAGACAGTTTACCCTGTCTAGCAGCACATTATAAGGCGATTCAAAATCGCTTAGAATGAATCTCAGAGTCCTTTTGTTAAGAGCTTCTATTTTGTCCCTGTTGTTTGCACTGCAAAAGTGCCAAACTGTTGAGCAATAATCAAAATGAGGGAGTATGTAGGCCCTATACAGTTTCACTAAAATGTCTTTGGAATAAGGTTTCTGAACCTAAGCATTACATTAAACTGGTTGTTGACATTTTTGCAAATAAGAGATATGTAATTGGGAAAATTTAAATTGTTCTCAATGTTCATTCCTAAAATGTCAATTGAGTCCTTTGTAGGAAACGAGAAGGTGTGTTCCGATTTTCCCAGAATCAAAGCATGATGTTTGCTTTAATTGGCCAACATTCCATTTTGCCGGTACCACCGGTTTGCTGTCTCGACTGCGTTACGCATGCGCCCATCTAGCGCAAAAGGACATTTATTTGCCAAAGGCGAAGTGAATATTGATGAATATTTACCAATTTTCAGGAGCCTGAGGCGAATAATTGTTTTAGTATAATTACTCAGGTGATTATGGAATAATAGAAATCCCTAAGCAAAGGATCGACCGAAAAATGTTAAATTTCATTTGTCATTGTCACGCGTCAATGAACAACTACGCGCACAAATCACGTGGTTTAATACAACACATGTTCAAAACGGCAAGTGTTTTTTTTTAACGATCTCTCTCGGTTTGTTGTTGAAGCCATTCTGTTAGATAAATAGAGTAAATAAATAAATTGTTGTGAAATTTAACAGTTGTTTTGATTTACTCATGCAACTCGACATAAGCGACATTTTCACGGGTATTTATTAGATTTCTTTGTTATATTTAGCACAATTTTCACATCTTACCTTTGAAAAGTGTCACCCCGAACTTTGTTGCAGCTTTGGTGGTTCTCTCGGGATAGCATTTTCTTTCATTATATTTTTGTTGTTGTTGTTTTGGTTTTTTTCAGAAATATCGACAAAGCGTGACGCGGCCAATTTGAAAATTATAGCGGAATACAACGCCATTGTCAACCAATGAATTCTATAATCACCTGGGTAGTTATACTAATATTTCTTATCGTTTAGGTTCCAGTGGTGGTGCTAGTTACACTTCAAATGCGTTCTTATTTTCACTACGAAACAAAGAAGATCGTGTATTCAAGAGCATGGTGAAAGATCCATCAAAAGCAATTTACGGAGGTTCAAATCAAGGCCCAACATTTGGTTGGGGGTGGGACATGTACATTGCCAACAATGCCAACAGTAATACTTTGTCTTACGCAAACTTTGGCGTTTCCTACTCTGTTCCAAGTGGAGTTCAAGACAAAAGAACAATCCTGGCTGGGACTCACAACTTCACACCTGATGAGGTGGAGGTGTTTTACCTCGGTTGAATCGTTTTAACAACGTTTTGGAATATTTTCATTTATCTAGTGAACATTTATGTATTAACCCTCAGACGTACAAGCTAACTCCTACCCACACCGTGGTACAAAGGAAATGGATGGACACCCCCTCTTTGATTTTCCCATTTTCTGAAAAAGTCAACAAATACCGGAAATTAACACAAAATCAAGCCATAATGCTTATAAAATGTACAAATCCATGAATTTCTGCAATTTGACGAAGAAAACTAGGAAAAATAGAAAATTACATCAAAAAAGTTGAAAGTTGATTTTTGGCCAGACCTAAATGAACTTTGATGTCAAACATGATGAACACGCAAATGACATACCAAAATTTCTGTAGAGAATTAAGGAAGAGCTTATGAAAGTTTCAGCCCCTTAGAGTAAATCGTCTTTTCAAAACTTTGAAAAACCTTATCGGGTCGTGGTATCCACCCCTCTTCCCTCCTTGTACGTCCGAGGGTTAAGAGGCTGTCAGCGTAAGATCGGATAAGGCAAACTTCGAGCCTTCGCAGATTGGCCTCATTTTTTCAGCGAAATCCAAACATTATATCCAATGTACAAATATCACATTTATTTGGATCATTTCGATTTTTTTTTTTTTTTCATTTTTTTTTTTTCCGAGACGGTTTTTAAGGCGACCTCAAAACTAGCTAATTTGTCTTGGGAGACTGAAATTTTGCTATAAATGTCGGGCGCGCGCTGCCATAAAAACAGTGTTTTATTTCAACAATCTAAGTGTTTTACATGCAAAATTGCCACCTTTCTTCGATATTTTTAATGTTTAACAATTATGTTCTGTTAAAGTTTGACGGAGTTATGAATTTTCGAACCGGAATGTAAGAACCATAACATACCTATAGTTAAAAGCTATTTTCTAAAATGTGGGACCTGACTTAGGATCATAACTAGAAATCTCGGACACGCCCGCGCAGTTGAAAAGGTCAGATTAGCAAAAGTTAGTCACACAATTTTTCACGACTTAGAGAAGCCACGCTTTACGACGCAGTAAATCACATTACTCAGTATTTTGTATCCATTGCGTTTCAAGAGTAGGGCATGTTACTCTGTAAAAGTTTTCATGTTTTCTGGTCGACGAAAACTGATATTTCTGCAAAACCGTGCAGTGAAATCCACCAGCAATAAAGTACACTTCTTTGCCATTTCCTCGATCAGCTATGTTGTTTTTCCCTGGGTAGCCTGGCTTTTGAAATCTAATTGCACCAAAAAATGAAACAAATGGGGGATCTAAGACGGGGCTCTTCCGGTCGCACTAGAATGCGGCGCGAAATTCAAAGCAAAGAATCAGAAGTGAACATTTATCTGTATTGGCGGTTTCAATTGGCAAACACTCAAATAAATTGCGTTATAGAAATGCCCCACAAAACTTTAAATCAGCGAAAAACTCTTCCTTCGAGTACGCATTGCTCGAGCTGACGTCAATGTTGTTCAGATGTCACGCTTAATTGTGTGTTTCTTGCCAACCAATGGCGTGAACGAATTTAACTTCTTTGAGTGGTAGATCAAATCTTAGCACCTTCCACTGATGTCCGAGATTTCTAGCCATGCCAATCTATGATAATTCAAAAGTACTAACATCAATGTTAAAACTTATAGAATAAAATGTGTGGGCACTCTCCACTGCGCGCAGTACAGAGCTCCACGAATTTGCTATATATGCGCCAGTTTGTGATAAACAAAGATAAAGGCGATCGCACCTGTAACCAATACACATAAGCCGTAAACGCTTAGAAATAAAATAACCACCACCAAACGTCAAATTTGGGATTTCAAACACGATTTTTCTTGGGTTAGCCGTTCTTTTGGGGAAAAATCTACCTTCATTAGGCATTTCAAATAGTAAAAACGAGCAATATTTCCTTTCCATCGATATGCAAATTACTAAAGCCGGATGAGTTAGACGACCGAATATCACATTAAACTGCTTTCTTTCGATATGTTTTTTAAGGGAAATAATTGTTCCTCCCCTGAAAAAATAAATGCGATATTTGTACGTTGGATATAATGGTTGACTTTCACTGAAAAAATGGGGTCAATCGGTGAGGGTATTTGCCTTATAATTTCTAAGCGGACAGCCTTTCAATTATATGTAAGTCTCGCCTCATAATCTCTATTTACCGTTTGGTTGTGTAGTGGATATATCACGTGCAATCAACCATGACTGAATGCAAGCAAAATATATGTATCGTAAGAGCGCATTGGAATTTTTCGAAGTCAGTTCTGCTTAAAAATTTCACAATTTTACATATCACGGGATTTAAATAAAAATAGGGAAATGCTATGTCGCGAAGAAAGAAAGTGTATAAGTACATCAAAAATATTAGATCGCTAATGCGACGCGATTTGAATAAGACGCGAAGTGACCGTACAAATAGTGCAAAATAAGCGTTCGTGTCTTATTTTAGACACAACTTGAATAAGACGCGTTCTTTTTTTCTCCCGTGTAATTGTCCCTAAACTCAAATCGCTTTGCCTTCTTATATTGTGACGCCAGTTAAAACTGAAACGTTTAGCTGCGACGCTTTTTTGTTTTTGCTGCTGTTCCTTTTTCCGGTTTCTATGCATGCTTCATGGATATTTTTTCTAAATCTGATTGGTCATTCTTGTTATTATTATTTTTTTATGTGTTATTTTTTTTAATTAATTAATTAATTTATTATTATTATTATTATTATTATTATTATTATTATTATTGTTATTATTATTTTTCGTGTGTGTGCCGGTGTGTGTTTTTCTTTTTGGTTAATTATCTGAATTCAAAGAAAATTTATGAAAAAAGGTAACGAAACGAGTAATAAATGCCGTAAAAAAGCCATTCTTTTGAATTCAGGCTGCTTGGGTCAGAGGGATATACTGAGCTCGCTCTTGAAGGCCCGACGTTTAGTTGGGGACCACCATTTGTTTGATGGAATAATTTCCGAGGCGAAGAGCAGAAAACAAAGCCTTCCTATTTCTTTTGCTTTATTTTAGATTAGTGGTTGCAACTTTGTGATAAATATAGATTATTTTTCAGTATTTACTCTAAGATACATAGCATGGATACTCTTTTCGAGGTACTTTTCTCAAAGTTCGTTTCGTAAACAATCAGTAAGATTCAAGACTGCTCGTTGAATGAGTTCAAACTATAACTGAAATCGCGTATCTAAGTGGGTCAGACAACTACACAAGAATTTAAAATTCTTTTACGCACACGTGAGAAACAACCGGAAATATTTCCAAGAGGAATGTTAACATTACATAAACTGACAGGGATAAAATCTTTCGGGTTTTATCTTATAGGTCTTTCAAGCAAGTAAAAGCTGAGGTCTCGAAAAGTTGGCAGCAGTGTGCCGTTAGTGGGTTATATATTAAGAGAAAGGAGTCCTAGTAGTTTACAAACAAACAACTTAAACTTAACTTTTTACTTGAGTAGATTCTATGGCAATGATGGGAGAGCTTAGTTTATTTGGTTAGAGACCTATTTCTATTTACTTATTATTGGTATAATGGTAACCTAAATAAACAATAGTCTCTATTTGGCGCGAAAATATGCTAGGATATTTTTCCGCGGACATTATCTGAGCATATTTTCGCCCCAAATGGAGGCTATTGTGTTTATTATCCTTCAAATCTTTTTCGCAGTACAAGCAGTTTTGAAAATCGAGGAACATTCTCGGATATTTCCCAGTTTTAGCTGGGGAATATTCGGCCACGTGACGTGTTTAGACCAATCGCGCGCGAGCGAAAACATTTGATGGATTATAATGGTTGATACTGGATATGCTAAGAATAGGAGTTACATGTGCTTCGGTGAAGATTTGTACCGTTATTGGGTTAAGAGAAAAAGAGTCCTAGTTTACAAAATATCAACCCTAAACTTAACTTTTCACTTGCATGGGTAGGACAGATTCAATGATGATGATGAAAGAGTTTTGTATCTTTGGTCATAGAGCTGGTTCTATTCACTTAGTGTTGATATAACTGTAACATAATTATGTAATATATGAGTCCCGTTAGGACTGTCATGTTATTAAACTAGTCTGCCTTTAAAATAAGAGACTTGTCTCTTTTCGGCTGATCGATTTTTTTTATCCGAACTTCACTTAATTAACAAATGTTTGTACCTAGTTTTTTTATTCATAATAGCTCAATATATCGGGTTAAAGGAAAATTTTAAACTAGCGAAACGACTCTGTGTGACAGCGTTATTAAAATCTTATAATTAAGAGATTTGTGCAAACGTTTAGTTGTTAGTCATGGACATCGTGTGCTGAATTATTACGCGAAAGTAGACAAGAGTTCCGAAAAATAGACTTAGACCGACACGTTTTCTTCAACGGTCTTGAGCGTTCGCGCGGAGTCAAACATGCTGTGAGAGCAGTAGAAATGACACCTTATGGCCATCAAAAATTCATGACAATTTGAGCAGATTTAAAACTAATCGAGGTATTGCGCATAGGGTAGTCAGAGTTCAAGCGACAATTTGAACTCTTGTTACTCTCGCTACATTGCATACTCAATATCTGCTACTGTAGTATGATTTGAACGCCTTAATAAAAATATGTGAATCAAGGATTATTGTAAGTAGGCAAGTATATGGTTCAAATAGTAAAGTTTTATTATACTTATACCCATCCTTGTGTGTTGTTTTTATCGAAGTTCACGACTATGAAACGAGTTATAGGAATTCTGGAGAGCTCCAAAAAAGCCTGTCTAGTCCTCTATTTTGTTGTCCCTAAGTTCGTCATTTTCTATCAGTTATCCTGATTCCACCACACAACATTCATTCAAACTCAAAATTTAAAGCTGCGTTTCATAATGCAAATTTACACCCGCGCTCTCCCTGCACAAGAAGAGACTAGCTCTGCCACATAAACTAGGCAATGGTTATTAATCTGTTCATTATACTGCAAGTCTTCTTTGTATTGCTAGTGACTGTTGGGACAAACCAAACGAATTTTTCTTAACTTGTGCAGACCCTTACATAGAAAATATTGTTATTTAACAATTGGAAGGCGGGCTCAAAAAGCTTTCAGCGAGCTGACTGTTTCAGGATTACCCACCAATCAAACTCCGGAAACGTTTTATCAGAAACCTCACGAAAACGCACTTACTGACCAGCTCCCCTAGCCTTCTATTGATCATTAGCGAGGTTAATAGTTAACCCCCCACACTCCACCCACGTTTATACCCCCGCGTAGGTTACAGGTCCA